TTTTTTTTTGTTTTATGTGTGTGTGTGTGTGTGTGTGTGTGTGTGTGACTAAAGGCTGTTGTGGTCTGATACCCAATCTCAGGTCTTCCAGGTTAATTAAAAATAAAAGTGTGACTACACTCACTTGATTACAAGTGAGGAAATTATTAGAACGTTAAAACGTGTTTTATTAGCAGAAATTCAATAGAAGGCCTATGTATTGACTTGGTGAGGTCTACTGCAAAAGTGACGCAGTGTCTGGGAATGTTAGACTTTATTAGACTAGATTGTATTCAATTAAAACAGTGTACACATCGATTTTTATTTACAATAATAAATAGTGTTGATCATGACGTGTGTATTTTTTATTTTTGTTTGTAGTGCAGACAGACACAGAGATGGATGAGCTACAAGACGTTCAGCTGACTGAGATCAGGCCTCTGCTGACCTACAAGGTGAGATAAACCTATCAGAAACACCCGACTGGTATGCAGACACACACACACACACACACACACACACACACACACAACTAGTTGTTGTTGTTGTTTTGTGTGTGTGTGTGTGTGTGTGTGTGTGTGTGTGTGTTTTATATACATTTTAGAATAATAGATTATGGAAATTGAGATTTGGTGATATAAATAATAAAAAATATGTATTATTTAAAGTACTGATCCAAGTAAATACATGAATAAATGCCAATATAAAATTAAATTATGGATACAAATTATTGATATATTTAATAAGCTGACCAAAATAATAATAATAGCTGGAAATCAGCTATAATGTAACTCTATTGCAGTTTTTTTTTTTTTTTTTTGCAATTTCCAATCCAATCTTCAATTTTTATCAAATCAATTGTTATAATTCTTAAATATGTCTTATAAGTCAGCTAGATATTTAGTTTAAATCAGCAGAATTTGCAGCCAGACCTTGAGCCATTGTTGATGTATATGCACATAAATGTATGAGGAGCAAGATCTAACACAATAAAAAGCCTATAGACACGGCAGAGCTCATCACTAGTTACACAGCGTAAACCATAGTGATGCTCATGCACACGTCAAGTCTCACGACTCGTGATACACATCTATGCCACGTGAAAACACTCTCACAAACGTCTCCTCATGTTCAAGGTCTCTGTTTTCCTCTATCTGAAGCAAAGTTCCTCTCTAACCCGTGTCTACCTTCACTTCATCAAACTGAATATTTCATGTGGGTGTTACTGTAGCAAGAGAAAACAAATGGAGATGGAAAAGAGGTGGATGGGGTGGAATAATAGTGAAATGGTTGTAAGATAGAGAGAAAAAGTGGAAGAACAAAATAGAAAGGACAGGAATAGAAAAAGAATGGACGGGTGGGGTTGAGGTGCAAAACAATTCTGCACAATAAAATATATTTCTGTCTTCTCCATAATTATTATTCTTCCTGCAGCCCCTGATGGCAGGAATTTGCATCACGGCATCCGAAGGGTTTATCAGTTTAAATCTTGCCATCCTTCTTTGCCACACAACATCCATTTCAGAAACTCTAAAAATAGAAATGTAAATGTCATACACCCATTAGCGTTGAGTAAGGCCGCCAGTATGATTTACTATAATTAAGTCGAGGGACAAACTTTTTATGGGTGGTTTCATCTCCCTTGGAATTAATGAATGAAATGAATGAAACAAATTGCTGTTTCTTTTGAAATACTGGTTGGAAATGTTTATTTTATTTTATATTTTATTTTATGGTTTCCCTCTGGTTTATACATCTAACAGAAAACAAATGTTGGATAGAAAAAGATAGTGTCAGCTTAATAGAAAGTATTTGTCATTTCTAATTTTATAATATTTTGAGATAATATTTAAACAATTTAAAGACAAAACTGAAATTAAAACTTAAACCATAAAAAAACATTTCCTTAAACACTTTAACTTAAATAAAATAAAACAAATTTCAGCTAGTTGCCCAGGCAACATTTCTTGCTTTAATTCAGTTTAACAGACATATATATAAATGAAACTACTAAAAATGACAAAAACACAATATTACTACAAAATTATAATTTCATTACAATTGCAGGTGGGTAATTTATTAAAAATAATGTTGGACTTTATCATGTATATGTTGTTTCAAACCCGCTGTTTATTTATTAATTTTTTTCTTGAAATAAAAAAAAGAGTTATGCAGTTCTTGCCACACAGCAGCAGTTTGTAATGACCGGCTGTCAAGCTCCATAAAACACCAAAAATGCACCATAAAAGTGTTATAAAAATTGTCCATGCACCTTATGCACAAACTCCAAGTCTTCATTTTCTGCTTTCCACTAAAAAAATTACATGACAACAAGTAAATTATGACAGAATTTACATTTTTCAGTGAACCATTGCTTTAAATCAGGGGTGTCCAAACTCGGTCCTGGAGGGCCAGTGTCCTGCAGCCAGACCTTGAGCCATTGTTGATGTATATGCACATAAATGTATGAGGAGCAAGATCTAACACAATAAAAAGCCTATAGACACGGCAGAGCTCATCACTAGTTACACAGCGTAAACCATAGTGATGCTCATGCACACGTCAAGTCTCACGACTCGTGATACACATCTATGCCACGTGAAAACACTCTCACAAACGTCTCCTCATGTTCAAGGTCTCTGTTTTCCTCTATCTGAAGCAAAGTTCCTCTCTAACCCGTGTCTACCTTCACTTCATCAAACTGAATATTTCATGTGGGTGTTACTGTAGCAAGAGAAAACAAATGGAGATGGAAAAGAGGTGGATGGGGTGGAATAATAGTGAAATGGTTGTAAGATAGAGAGAAAAAGTGGAAGAACAAAATAGAAAGGACAGGAATAGAAAAAGAATGGACGGGTGGGGTTGAGGTGCAAAACAATTCTGCACAATAAAATATATTTCTGTCTTCTCCATAATTATTATTCTTCCTGCAGCCCCTGATGGCAGGAATTTGCATCACGGCATCCGAAGGGTTTATCAGTTTAAATCTTGCCATCCTTCTTTGCCACACAACATCCATTTCAGAAACTCTAAAAATAGAAATGTAAATGTCATACACCCATTAGCGTTGAGTAAGGCCGCCAGTATGATTTACTATAATTAAGTCGAGGGACAAACTTTTTATGGGTGGTTTCATCTCCCTTGGAATTAATGAATGAAATGAATGAAACAAATTGCTGTTTCTTTTGAAATACTGGTTGGAAATGTTTATTTTATTTTATATTTTATTTTATGGTTTCCCTCTGGTTTATACATCTAACAGAAAACAAATGTTGGATAGAAAAAGATAGTGTCAGCTTAATAGAAAGTATTTGTCATTTCTAATTTTATAATATTTTGAGATAATATTTAAACAATTTAAAGACAAAACTGAAATTAAAACTTAAACCATAAAAAAACATTTCCTTAAACACTTTAACTTAAATAAAATAAAACAAATTTCAGCTAGTTGCCCAGGCAACATTTCTTGCTTTAATTCAGTTTAACAGACATATATATAAATGAAACTACTAAAAATGACAAAAACACAATATTACTACAAAATTATAATTTCATTACAATTGCAGGTGGGTAATTTATTAAAAATAATGTTGGACTTTATCATGTATATGTTGTTTCAAACCCGCTGTTTATTTATTAATTTTTTTCTTGAAATAAAAAAAAGAGTTATGCAGTTCTTGCCACACAGCAGCAGTTTGTAATGACCGGCTGTCAAGCTCCATAAAACACCAAAAATGCACCATAAAAGTGTTATAAAAATTGTCCATGCACCTTATGCACAAACTCCAAGTCTTCATTTTCTGCTTTCCACTAAAAAAATTACATGACAACAAGTAAATTATGACAGAATTTACATTTTTCAGTGAACCATTGCTTTAAATCAGGGGTGTCCAAACTCGGTCCTGGAGGGCCAGTGTCCTGCAGAGTTTAGCTCCAACTAGCCTCAACACACCTGCCTGGAAGTTTCTAGCATGCCTAATAAGACCTTAATTAACTGGTTCAGGTGTGTTTAATTGGGGTTAGAGCTAAACTCTGCAGGCCACGGCCCTCCAGGACCGAGTTTGGAGACCCCTGCTTTAAATGATTGAACTGGAGAGACTCACTGACCTCTTACTCCACCTAGTGGCTTCAATATAAAGGGCAGCAGAAGCTGGTCAGAGAATAATTGATGATATGATGATATGAAAATTTAATATTGTTAGACATTTTTATGTAAGTTAATGAGTGTAGAATAATTAAATGTCATCTCTTTCTCCTACAGAACTCTCAAAACTTCCAAGACTTTGACTGTCAGGTAAGATAAGACTTCGTTTAAGAATTTCTTTGGTGGATGAGATAAAAATGAGTTATTCTTAGATGCTCATTAGAGGTTTGTGTGTGCTAAAACAGACAAGTGGTGTGATAATGACTTTTTTTGTTTTTTTAACCTTTTAATGTAAATTTTAATATCAAACTTATTTTGGGAAAAGCATCACATTTTGATGTTGAAATAAACCTCAATTTTAGAATCTGTGATTTGATGCTACTATGTGTTCTGCCTTTTTCACTCAAGGACTCTGTATCAGCTCAGACGGCCATAAACTGATTTTGTTTAGTGGAAATCAATCCATTTAAAAGAAAATACGATGATCACGATATTGTTCTAATTTGAGAAGGTACTCTGGACTTAATGCATCTTCCTGTAAAACATATCAGGATTATCCACACTGATCATTATCCATTCTGTTGAGTAATGGATGATATGATGGTGGTTGACATCTTGAAATAATTTAGATATATACATCATTTATGAGTTCATATCTGATGTGTTTTTTTAATGTCTCTTTAGCAATGAGAAAACCATTCTTTGTGGATCACATCCTTCTCTTTCAGTGCAGGGGTCTCAGATGAGCTAAATATAGCGCCTGCAGTGAGCATGCTGAGACTCAGGCATGACATGCTCTACATTATAGTGACTTTAGTATTCCTTACTCAGCAAGCCTCTATACAGGAGCTCACACACATTAAGTGTTAGTCCAGTGATAGGCTGACACCAGGCCAGCCAATCCAATCTCACACAAGCACTGATGCTGCAGAACCTGCACCTCATGTGCGTGAGGAAGCTCTCGTTTTAGGTGTGACAGCTCTCTGCTGGTGAAAAGAGAGGAAATGCAGTCTATCTCTCTCACCATCCACCTATAATATCGTGCAAAAAGCCAGAAGATAAAAATCAAATAGTCTGTAAATGGTTTGCCAGTGCTTGTAGTTTTAAGGTGAAATTAAGTCAGATTGAATGCTTGTTATGGAAAATGCTTATGTTTCCCAATTCTGTCTTGATATGGTTTTGTCCAAAGCAGTGCATTGAACGAATTTGGAAGAAGACAAATTTACATTTAATTTTTTTTATTACCGCTACTTTTATGTCCCAAATTTTGTTTATAATTGTTAACATTTCAACTTTTTTTTTTTGTTAAAACTGCATTGCCTTCATTGTTTAGTTACTGTTACTTCGTAAATGAATACATTTGTTTAGAGCTTATAGATTTATACTTAAACTTTCAGTCTAAATCTGTAGAAAATAAATCAATCAAAACAATATATATTATTCATGGGTACCGAAGACGTCACTTCCGCTATGCTCGCCGCCATTTTTGTGTCCGATATGACAACGAACACAGCACATCTAAATGAGATTTAATAAATGATAATATATTAAAATAATAAATGACCTTTTACTACCATTTTCCACACTGAGCTTTGAACTTGATTGTATTTTTAGGACCCTATGGGTACAGAAGGTGTAACAGTTAGCCCATAATAATGTAAGATGCTGATTACTTGTAAATATAAAACTGACATCAGCTCAGAGCTCTTTTGAGTTAATTAGTGTAACAAGATAACGTTAGCTAGCTTACTACACAATCTGAATTTAATGTTAATTTAGCTAACATTAGCACAATTGATAATTAATCATTCTTTTTGGACAAAGCATTGTTTTATTTGCGAGCGTAGCCGTTCGAGGAAGGCTTTAAGACCTTGAAGAATCCTCTACCTGGACGCTCCCACTTCACAGTGCGGGACTTGCCTTTACCGTCCATGTTTTGATTTTGGCAAATTAGTTTGAGCGAATGCAAACAATGTGATTATTGATCATGACCCAAACATCCAGCAAGCCAAGAAAACATGCAATCTACCTGAGGGAAGACGTCTTTTACTTCCGCTGTATTCTTAAAGGGGTCCTATTATGCTTTTTCACTTTCTGAATTTTAGTCAGTGTGTAGTGTGCATGTACTGTAATATGGGCATAAAAAGGGCTTTAAAAAGATCTACAAAGTTACAAATCTCTAAGTCCACTGCAAAGGGAGATATTTATTTATTTTTTTTACTTTTTTCAAGAACTACAACGAACGGCTTGTTTGGACTACAGCATTGTTTTTCCGGGGTTTGTGATGTCACAAAGCGGCTATTAGAATATCATTAAAATAAATCCCGCCTACGGAAATTCAAATGGTTGGGGGGGTGGGGAGGGGCAAGGTCGTGGTTAGAACGCTTGGTTGAGTGCATCAGACAAGACGACAACGAAGAAGTGCTGCTGCAGAGTTAGCGCATCAGAGAAAACGAAGAAGAGCTGCTGTAGCATCAATAAACATAATACATATTACCGTTGCACTTATCTGTACATAATAAATGCAGCTATTTTTAAGCGGTTGTTGACATCGTATCTAAAACGTGATTTAGCCAAAAATAAAAAAACCGACAACAATAATGTTACCACTCTAATATGTCTTGCAATATCCGTGCATGCAAAGATTCTGCGCGATCCTCTTGTTCAATATTCTCGGGGTCTGAATCCATCTCAAATTGATATGGCAATATTGACGCCATCCTTACAGGATTAGTTCACTTCCGGAAAAAAAATTTTTACAGATAATTTACTCATCCCCATGTCATCCAAGATGTTCATGTCTTTCTTTCTTCAGTTATAAAGAAATTACGTTTTTTGAGGAAAACATTTGAGCAATTTTCTTCATAGAGTGGACTTCTATGGTGCCCCTGAGTTTGAACTTCCAAAATGCAGTTTAAATGCAGCTTCAAAGGGCTCTTCCTCTAAATCGAGGAAGAAGGGTCTTATCTAGAGAAACGATCTGTTATTTTCTGAAGAAATTTACAATTTATGCACATTTTAACCTCAAACGCTCGTCTTGTCTAGCTCTGCGTGAACTCTGTGTATTCCGGTTCATGACAGTTAGGGAATGTCGAACGAAATGTGTTGTGATTGGTTAGCTGTCCCAGTGCGTTGTGATTGGCGAACAGCTTAGACAGTGTTTCAGTACTGCCACACCCCTTGCCAAAGCAGTAAGTTCCGTCTGCTCCGGTATAGTTGAATTAGTTCACTTCCAGAACAAAAATTTACAGATAATTTACTCATCCCCATGTCATCCAAGATGTTCATGTCTTTCTTTCTTCAGTTATAAAGAAATTACGTTTTTTGAGGAAAACATTTGAGCAATTTTCTTCATAGAGTGGACTTCTATGGTGCCCCTGAGTTTGAACTTCCAAAATGCAGTTTAAATGCAGCTTCAAAGGGCTCTTCCTCTAAATCGAGGAAGAAGGGTCTTATCTAGAGAAACGATCTGTTATTTTCTGAAGAAATTTACAATTTATGCACATTTTAACCTCAAACGCTTCCCATCTCATTTTCTCCTCCAACTTCAAAATCGTCCTACATCGCCCAGTGTACCGACCCAGTGTTTACAAAGTGAACATGCAAAGATGATCAAACGCCCTTTTTTTACAAAAAAAGGTAAAACAGCGATGTAGGACGATTTTGAAGTTGGAGGAGATTTTTCGAGTTGGAGAGTTTTTCGACATTCCCTAACTGTCATGAACTGGAGTGCACAGAGTACACATGCGCATCGCAGTGCTAGACAAGACGAGCATTTGAGGTTAAAACGTGTATAAATTGTAAATTTCTTTAGAAAATAACTGATCGTTTTGCTAGATAAAACCCTTCTTCCTCGGCTGGGATCATTTAGAGCCCTTTGAAGCTGCATTTAAATGGCATTTTGGAAGTTCAAACTCACGGGCACCATAGAAGTCCATTATATGGAGAGAAATCCTGAAATGTTTTCCTCAAAAAACATAATTTCTTTATGACTGCAGAAAGAAAGACATGAACATCTTGGATGACAAGGGGGAGAGTAAATTATCTGTAAATTTTTGTTCTGGAAGTGAACTAATTCAACTATACCGGAGCAGACGGAACTTACTGCTTTGGCAAGGGGTGTGGCAGTACTGAAACACTGTCTAAGCTGTTCGCCAATCACAACGTACTGGGACAGCTAACCAATCACAACACATTTTGTTTTTCGGAAGGCGGGCCTTCATCAAACCCGGAACTAATCAAGCCGTTTGTGCCAGGCTGGGGAGAAAGGTATTGTAATAATGTAAATTATGTGAAAAATAATGCTTTTTCGAACCACCAAGCCTGTTCTAGTACACCCCCAAAACAAAATCAAGACTTTGTAAAAGAGCATAATAGGACCCCTTTAAACTTGGATCTCATTAATGAAGCACAAATTGAAGCAGCAAAAGTTCTCTTTAATTAAAAATATGCATTTTCATTCATTGGCTATATGGCTGCAATAACATTTTAGTTCAAATTTTTTTTAAATGCTTTACTGACTAATTTTTTTTTGTATGACATTAAAATGATTTTTAGAATAATTCTACATAAATAGGTTAAGCAAAACAAATGTGATTATTTTTGAGAACCTTTTATACACCTTTTACATATACTTACATATATTATGTGGTGCAGTACAAATATTTTAGTGTCCTTTATTCTGTCCCTTATTCTCCTATAAAGAATCACAATTGTCCCTTATTTTCCCTTACATTCCTTTTCTGATGTTGGCAACCCTAACGTTAGCTGCCAGTGGTCCCTTCTGATTGAAGCCAACCATTTATTCCACCGATCTAACTCCTTTGGGATCAAATAAAATTGTAGTTCGGGGTTTCTCTGACGACTGTTATACAGCTAACAGCACAACATATCCCGAGCATATTGTAACCTTGTTGGGAACCTTCCAGGAGTTAGGGTCTTCTTCTGGTAGTTGTGGCTGCTGTGATCATTGACTGAAACAGGTCGTGCAGCTGTGACTCTAACACAAATATGGTGGCGATATAGCACTGTGACGTCACATGAACCGTATAATATGTTAAAACTATCATAATCCAAGAAATTGTGTTTTTAAGAAGATTTTTTTGACAATTTTTTGACAATTTTTAAGAAATTATTTATTCTGTGGATTTTTATATGAATTTTCTAATTCATATAAATGTATTTTAGATTTTATTCTTATTCTTAATTTATTTTATTAATTTTGGCTCACTAGAGACAATTGAGACATTTAAAATATATGTAATTTATGTACATTTAAAAAGTATATATCAAATATATATATATATACAGTGGGTACGGAAAGTATTCAGACCCCCTTCAATTTTTCACTCTTTGTTATATTGCAGCCATTTGCTAAAATCATTTAAGACATAAACACACACACCTATATCTACTGATATCGGAGATAATCTTTTTCCTTTAGCTCTTAGCCAGTAATTAAAGGTTAAAGCTAAATAACTAAAGCATCTGTGTGAATACTGCAAGTCATCACAAGAGGTTTATCATTTTTCAGAGACAATTTCATCCTATAGAGGGCATCAGAAGCTCAGAGTAAGCAAAGTCATATGCTTGACTCCAAAACAGTGTCAGTATTTAGATACTATTCAAAATAATCTGAAATAACAACAGACCACTTCCCAGGAGAAAATATTTATTTAGAACAATATTTAATCTCTGATCCCCTGTTCTTAGTGACCTTCTATCAGTCTCAGCTATCAAATAGTGATGTAAAAATGTAGCCCAAATGTCTACAATCATATTGACCTCTCTCCCTTAGTGTGTCCGTTTTGTTTCTATTATAAATTATATGTTGCTTTTTCTTAAGTTTCTTGGTAGTTAATCTTGACAGGCCTTCAGAGGCTGTGTCTGTCCATTTTGCCCTCTGATGTGCACATGCTTGCCTGAAGGTCACTCGGGTACAGCACACTCCACAAGACTGCTCAATGAGATGGAAAGAGTGACTAACACAATCTGATTTATTACTGAAGCTGCAGGTGCATCAATAAGTAATACAACCTTTGAGTACTTTTGCTGTATGACTTTTTGTGTAAAATAGAGGGCAAGAGCAGTGTGTATTTTGTGCCATCTGTTGTGTTGTGCAGTCTCAGTTATCCAACTAATGCATTTTAGCTAACTGTCTGATACACAAATAGATTCTACATACCTTTATAACGCAGTGTTGAATTACAATCCACAAATGCTGAATTCTTTTGCCAGCTTCAGTTATTTCCCTTCCCTGACTACTACTACTCCGATTGTGTTTGTCTACGGTGGCCCCTGAGGAACAACAAAGAGGCTTATTGTATGAAAAACAATTTTTCAGCCTCATCTACTGATAAATGGAGGGAAGGCAGATCAATAACCTTTCAGAGACCAAGATCCATAAAGAGAGATCGCACAGATGATACCACACTGCACCTCTGCTGGGTCACAGACGTGCTGCATGTCATAATTCCTTAAGTGAAGGCAACCTTGCAACCTTGGTTATTTATTGCAGTGGTAGAAAATGAAAAAATGAACATTATTATAAATCCAAGGAAACTGATATTAGGTTTAGTTCTTGCTGTTACACTGATTTGATAGCTCATT